GTGGTGAAGGAAGCATTGGTGGCAGTGGTGACATTGGTAGTGCCCATGGTAAAAGGAGTGGTGGGGACAGGGACAGGGGCACTGGTGTCAGTGACAAAACTGGTGGTAAAAGGAGCACTGGTGGCAGTGGTGACATTAGTAGTGCCTGTGGTGAAAGGAGTGGTTGGGACAGGGGTAGTGGGATTAGTGTCAGTGGCACTACTGGTGGTGATAGGAGCACTGGTGGCAGTGATGACATTAGTAGTACCTATGGTGAAAGGAGTGGTTGGGACAGGGACAGTGGCACTGGTGTCAGTGGCAGTACTGGTGGTAAAAGGAGCATTTGTGGCAGTGGTGACTTTAGTAGTGTCTGTGGTAAAAGGAGTAGTTGGGAAAGGGACAGTGGCACTGGTAACAGTGGCAATACTGGTGGTGAAGGAAGCATTCGTGGCAGTGGTGACATTGGTACTGCTTGTTGTGAGCGTTGTGGTGAGGACAGGTACAGTGGCACTTGTGCTAGCACCAGTGGCCACGGAGTAAGGCGTAGTGTCAGGACCAGCTGCACTAGTTGTGACTGCTGTAGAGCTGGTTGGAGGAGTGGTTATGGCAGAGGGTTCACTAGTGCCAGCAGCAGGACTTGTACTAGCAGAGCTAGTGAGAATCTCAGTAGCAGCAGCTGTTGTAGAAGATGTAGAAGGCTCAGGACTCATGGGGAAGGCACTTGTCACAGGTGGAGTCGTAAAGGAAGGATCCCCATGAATCCAGAATACCTCAGTTAATTTTTCCAGACTAACACTCTTGTCAGTCAACTGAATAGTCAGTGTCTGCCAAAAAAATTAAAATAAAATAAAATAAAGTGGGTATATTAAAACTTCTTTACCATATTTTAGTCCTATCTGAAATTTCATTTAACAACAATAATAAAACCCACAATGTGTTCATTCTTTGCCAAGACAGTGACAGTATACAAACACTTTTTTTTTTTTTTTAGATCACATGCATTCCTGACAGTTTAATTTGGAGAAATGCTCTGTGTGCAGAATCCTATGATGGCAGTCTCTTCCTACTCACTTCATTCAGTCAGAAACACATTGGTCACAAATGTTACAGCTGCAATTAAAGCCAGTGTTTATTAAAACCTCCTTGCCTTGCCATTGGCCTTACTCTTCCTGGCAGCAGGCTAGTTTCACACCTTCACTATGTTCAACACCTAGAATGGTAACTGGCATCTACTGGTATCTGATGTGCTATGGAAATGTCCAAAAAAGAGGGTATTCAAGGACTTTCTGTATTTGTCTTAATTAGAAACAGTTACTTGGTAAAAGTGGTTCTGAACTCCATAGTCCAGGGAAAATGTTGCAAACAACTAGAAGAGACTGTAGAAAAAGGAATTATTTGGCCTGTATTCAGAAGGGCCTTTTTCTAAAATTAAAATATCAACAGGGCACCCTTTTCACCTTTTAGAAGCTGGAACTAGAGTTATTCATTTTCACTTTTTTACACTCTACACTATGAATTGCTGAACTCATATTTCTGATTAGTGTCATGTGCTAAAGTAGAGTGCTTTTTCCTCTGTGATTGCCCTAGGTGTTACTATTGTTAATACAACTTCCAAAATGCTAATTTACGTGGCTCTAACAACAAAAACAGATCCTCTGATAAAGTGACAAAAATAGAAGAACCTGTTTTATTTAACCAAATAAAACATCAAAGGTTAGATATAGTCATTGAATGGTCACCACAATTTACTGCCAATTTTCAACCTAAAAGATCCATAAAAATTTGACCAGGGATGTGATTGCTGCAGGAAGCAGCAGGGAACCTTTGCAACTTTAAGGAATCATTCTTTTCTTTGTTTTAGCCTCTGAGCAGAAAAGTAAGTTCTATGATGCAGCTGGGAAACTGACCTATTCAAACAGCACAATTTCATTTGTAAATGTACAGAAGGTATCACCAAACCACTGACCACTGGACCTGGGACAACATACTATGCATTTCACAGCATAATCCAACACTGAACTTTTCGGGAACATACCTGTTGCAAACATTTATAGCATTTGAAATATATGTACATATAAGGCTGATAATAGTGTTGATAATTTTGCAGAATAATAAAATTAGCTCATGATAGTATTCCTTTCAGACATACCTTAGTATAAGGGTCACTCTTGAAATTGGTCGTCATGAATTCCCAGTTGTCATATGTGAAACCGACTTGTGTCACATAAGTAGAGTTCACTCCCCAGATTTTAATATAACCAACTTTCAATGAATTTGAGTCGCTCAAATACTTATTGTGTATGACCTGAATTTTCAAGGTGTTCTAAAAAACATTCATAAAAAGAATAATGCAAAATACATTATTAATGACCTATGCCTTGCATCAGATGCTTAGAAACCTCAAGTTGCCTTTGTTGTACTGGTTTGCTATTTTTATTCTTAGTTGAACATTTTATAAAGACATTTCCTGAACACTTGCTGCAAAAAATTTGATGATGTCAAAAAATAGGCCTATGTACCAGCATACCTTGCGTGTATCTTTTGCTAATTCTTATAATAATTTTGAAAAGAAACTCTGTTTTAAAGATGAGAAAACTGAGGTTCTAGGAGATGAAGTGAGTAGCTGAAGGACAATGTGCCTATATGCACAGCATTAGAAGAATTAATACAGGTGAATAAAGAAAAAGCCCTAGAGTAAGGATGGTTGACAAGAAATGCAGGAACTTATCTCAACTGTGAGCTCATTAAGCATCAATGCAAGGATTAAAATAATATTAAATAAATCATGCGATGCCATGTAACTAAGGCCAAAAGAAACACATAGTGAAAATTTGTTACTATAGGAACAATGTAGTCAAGGAAGATTTGGTAAGGACACAGAACTTCAGAAGCCCTGGGAAGATGGATAGGATGTATAAAGGTGACATGAATGGGGCAGGGAAAAGAGACAGAGATAATTTGAACAAGGGCACACTCATTGAGTTAGGACAAGGGCTACTGTAGGTGGTGCTAAGAAAAAAGGGAAATGAGACTGGATTTGCATGGAAGTATGTCAAATAAGGTTGTGAACTATGCAGTAAATTGGAATAGTTGCAGTAGACTAGAATTGTGAATATCTTGATTCTGGTGGTAGTAGTAGAAAGAGAAAGAAGCATACAATTGGCATTATCAAGATAGGGAAGAAGGGTGGGAGGGAAAGGGAGCAGGTAGGGGAGTAACAAGGATGGTGGAATGTGATGGACATCATTATACAAAGTACATGTGTGAAGACTTGAATTGGGTGTCAACATACTTTATTATATACAAACAGAAATACAAAAAGTGTGGTATTTGTGTGTATTAAGAATTGTAATGCAAAAAAAATAATGTTACCTTAGATTAGGTAGAGGGAAGTGAAAGGAGGGGAAGGCAAGGGATATGGGGATAAGAAAAATAGTAGAATGAAACACATTATTACTGTATGTATATAGGTGACTGTTTGACCAACGTGATTCTACAATATGTATACTCAGAAAAATGAAAAATTATATCCCATCTATGTATGATACATCAAAGTATTTAAGTGCATTCTACTGTCATGTATAACTAATTAAAACAAAATTTAAAAAAAAAATTAACAGGATTTTTTGGCTGAATCAAAGGAAAAATGGGCAGGCCGAATCAAAGGAAAGATCAAGGAAAAGGTATACACTTGAAGCAAGTAGATGTATTAGGGCTAGATCTTACTGATTTGAGAGAGCAGATGGTTCAATTTCCTGAAATTGTGCATAGTAGTTGTAGTTAGAAATTGGTTAAGATGGTGGATGTTTTTATACTACAGAAGTCAGTAAATACTATAGATCAGCTCCTACCCCACAAGTTGGCCAGGCAACACTGATAATAATTAACCCAGAGAACACTAGCAGCTTTTTTTCACTTCAGGCCACTGGTCTCTAGGGGGGGAAATTTATTAAACATCCCACAAGTAAGAATCCTCTTATCACTACTGTGGAATAACAAAAGAATGGAAATTTAGACTTAAAAGTAATTTAAGGGCCATCTTATGTTTTATAAGAAATAGATTTAACAAGAAAAGTGCCTCTTAGTAGTAGAAAGAGAACTAAAATCCAGAATTTCTAGATCAACAGCTTCATTTACAAACAATATTTTGAGAGGAAAAATAAAGTTTTCCACTCCAATATTCTTTCGTTAAAAACAGGGAATGTACAGATTTAATGAGAATACAAACTCTTGCATTTAGTTTCATGTCTATATACTCATGTCTATGAAAATAAAATGTAGTTGACCATGAGATTTTTATGTGCCAAACATCTGATACATGTGCTTAAAAATTAACACAATGCAACATCAGTAAAAAACAGTCTGGCTAAAAAGTGGTAGTAGGCAATATAAAAATCAATTCTCTCCTGTAGGAATATAGTGCAAACCATATATGTAATTTTAAATTTTCTAATAGCCACATTTTCAAAAAGTAAAAGGAAAAATTGATTTTAAAAGATATTTTACTTAGTATCAAGGTTTATAAAATATTATTTCAACATGTATTCAATATAAAACACTCTGGGATATTATACAATCTTTCTTCAAACTTAGTTATTAAATATTTCAAATTAGGCTGGCCATACTTGCAAGGGCTTAACAGTCACATGTATTTTGGATAGTGAAGGTCTAAATTGTGCTCTTAATCCTGAGAACCAGGTTTTAGGGGAAATCTAGGATAACTGGAGTCCAAACAGAATAATCACATCTAGAAACCAATAATATTAGTCCAGAGATGCATAAAGACAGAAGGGATATATATATACATAAAAGACATCTCAAGTATTTGAAGTACTTAAGGAAAAGAGAATAGATTTGTGCCTCAATTATTCTTATTTGAAGTCAATAGATAAAACTTACAGAGAAGCAAATTCTAACTTGAAAATGAAATGAACCTTTTTTCTCTAATTAGAATTACAGATTATTCATGGAATTACTTAACATAATACATTGATTGTAATGTTGTCTCCACCTATTCATTCCTCACTTTTCTATGTAATTTTAGTAATTTTGCCTGACTTAATGCAATATGCTGTCCCACGTGCGCATCTGACTTAGCTTTGCTAGTGGGAGATTAGTCAACTCCATGCATGAAGTGATTTTAGGCACTTCCATGTCAATTTGCACCTTCTTCCATAATCATAAAAACATCATGCTCAGACCATCCTATAGGTCATGTTAGATCATCTGTAGGTCAGCTGATATGTCAGGTATGTGAGAAAGTGAAGCCAAGATCACTCAAGCAGCCTAGAACCAGTGGCCAAATGCAGTCACTTTTGAGCCAGCCAGTATCAGCCAAATTCAGTCCAGGTCATCTGAGTTTTGCAGTCTAATAACCAAGTGCTTATAGTTGCATGCCACTGAGGGTTTGAGGTTGTCTGTAGTGCAGCATTATTGCATAACCGCTTATTAAATTCCTTATTCCTGAAAACATTTTACACATTTAGGAATCCATTTTTCCCTGGATCAATGTGAGTTCCAAATTTCTTTATCTATAATAATGCTATTGGATAATTATCAAAATAAGGATTTCTTTTCTTCCCTATTTTAATGTTAACAAATCTGAATTGGTAAAGGCAGTAAAGATCTCCTATTAAAATGTGAGATATTATAAACATTAACTGATAATGTTTAATCTGTAACTAACTGGAAAAGCATTTATAAAGTTCAACAAAATAGCATTACCTGAGCTGCAATAAAGTTTGCCAAGAAATAGTTTCCATTTTCATAGGTGTCTGAAAGCAAGAGGAAGAAGAAAATAAGCAATTGCTCAATGCTTCTATTGCAGCAGATAATCAAGTCAGAAAATATCTTAATGTGTATATGATACACTTTAATTTATAAATTAGGCATAGTAAGAGATTAACAATAACTAATAATAATATATAGCAATTGTAACATAATTTTGTAGGCTTGAGCTTTGGGCCATTATTAAGTAAAATATAAGCATTGAAATAGTGCAACGGTTGACCTAATAACAAAAATGCCTTCTCAGTGACTAATTGGAGGGTAGCATATACAGCATGGATACACTGGAAAAACTGATGGTTCACATCCTAAGTGAGATGGACTAATATTGCATAAATTTTCATACACTCTACCCACTGCATCAATTACTTATTTCTGGAATTTTCCATTTAATACTTTTGGACTGTTGCTGACCATAGGTAATTAAAACCACAAAATGTGAAAACTCAAAAAAAGAGGAATACTTTTTTTCTTAGTTGGTATCTACTTTATTCATTCTCCTCATGGTACTTTCATACCTCCTCCTATTTCTTAAAAGTCAGTTTTACATCATGATCTTTTCTTGACCTTTGTCAACATTTCAATGTCTTGCCAATAGTCCAAAAAAATTATCTCCTTGAACTGACTGACTTTCTTCTAAGTCTTCAACATTACTTCATAGGGAAGTAAACAATTACAAAATCCATATGGTATTTTAAATTTAGCCTTAAAATGAATGCAACTTAAGCAAACACTATAGCCACTTTTATCAGTTAATGAAGAGTTTTCAAGAATGAGATTTGGCTCACAGAATTTTTAAAGATTATAAGATTATCCTTGAAGTAGCCTTTATATTACTTTATGTAAACAAGGAAAATCTGCTAACAGAAAATTTAAATTAAATCTACTTGTTCCATATTTTAGTATTTAGTAATTTAAATTTTAATTTCTAAGTCTATTAATTTGTTTAAATAAGGGCAAAAAAGAGCATTATTAAAAAGAGTAACTTTTAATATTTCAAGGACTGTAAATTTTTAGTCTTTAAACCAAACATATTTTTATAGAAACTTAAATTGTTCTGAGAAACATACAAACTAAATCCAAAATGTAATGTGCTGTATGCCTGCAAGAATGGTTGATGTTTTAAAAACTGATAATACCAGGTATTAGCGAGGATGAGAAAAGTTGGATTCTTAATCATTGCTGTTAATAATAGGAAATAGTACAGCCAATTAGAATATAATTTTGGCAATTTCTTTGAACATTAAACATGTATTTATCCAATATGGCCCAGCAATTCCACTCCCAGGTTTTTAGGCAAGAGAGATGAACAGATAAGATCACAAAATGTTTTATACCCAAATAATGGTTCCAAAAATGAAGCAACTTAAATATTTATCAGTAAATCCATGGGCAAATTGTGGTATATCCACAAAATGGAATGTTATTCAGGACTAAAAAGTAATTAGCTCCTTTTACAAGCAACAACATGGGTGAATTTAAAAAACATTCTGATAAGTGAAAATCTAAAGACACATAAAGGGTCTACACTACCTGATTCTACTCATATAAAACCTAGGAGACAGGGCTCTGTCTGCAGTTGGAGAAAGCAGAATAAATACTTGTCTTGGAAGTAGCAGGTGGAAGTGGAGAAAGCTGACTGGAAAAAATAAGGCGCTCTTGGGTCATGAAAAGATCCTGTATCTTGATATGATGGTGGTTATCTCACTGTGTGTATCTGCCAACTATTCAAGAGCTCTATTTAAAAATGAAGACATTTTACTTATGTAAATTACAACTCTTTGAATAAAGGAAAATAATTATCTTCAAGGAATATACTTTATGGAAATAATTTAAAATGCAAACACAGGCTAACACTACAAAATGTGATTCATAAAAATGAAAACTGAAAACATCCTATACAAAGAACAATTACACAGTTACATAAATTACAGCATAGCTTCTTGATAGAATCTATGTCATAATGGCGCTTATAAGGAGAATATAATACATCTAGAATTGTGTCTTTCATTATGTTAAGTGAAAATAAGCAGGCTTCACAAATTAAATTTGTAGTATGTTTCCAGCTACAAAAATCACACATTTTATTAAGTAATGTAAAGGCAAAGGTAATACAGCAAAAATATTAAAAGTGGTCATATTTTTTCTAATTTTCCATCTTAAAGACTTTTTGAAGGGAACACTTCATGCTTTAATGAGAGTATCTTATCTTCATAATGAAGAAAACTAAAAAGAAGGAAGCCTTTAGAAATAGCAGTAGTGAGAAACAGATTAATGTTTCAGAAAATGTGGCAAGCTGCAAGACAAAATGTTCTGTTCCACAGTATTTAAGTAGTGAAAAGTAACTGGTTGGAGCAGTGTGACAGTATTTCCATAGAAATGTCTGAGAAAGAGGCTGCTCTGATTACAATGGTAGGTTCCAATCCAAGGCAGAATGAGCTTGTCCCTGGATTGGGGAGTGAAAGCACATAAGGTGTGAAGTATCCTTTAGGTGATACTTAATTCCCAATTTATGAGTTACCAAGAAATTTTCTAACTCTATTTTTTTTTCCTGAGTGGGCCAACATATGAGGAAAAAGATGCCTGGTGTGACCAGCTGGCCCAATAATAGAGCCCAGTCCTTGTCCCATTGAGAATGAATTTAACTGTCAGCCTGATATTTGTATCCACACTATTTTATCAGAGTAAGAGAGTTCAATAGGGATAGATCATCCCTGGCTGGATAAATATACCTGGTCTATAGCATCATATACCTGATCTATAATAATTTGTAGCATAACATGAGCAGGGAAAAGTTGCAAAAGTTCTTCCCATACCACGGTCATATTGACAGTAGCAGACACAGAGAGATTTTAAGTTCCTATGATTCACTGATCCTCTAGGATACTGCTTTTCTGAATGATGTTCAAGGATTCTGGGAAGTTCACACTCACCAATGCTTTGTCCATCATCCCAGAACAGCTGACCTTCAGCCTTCCCATCATCATCCAAAGCAACAGTTAACCCCATAAAACATTGTCGACTATCAAAAAAAAAAGGAGGGGGGTATTATTTTTCACTAGCTTGTAGGTTTTAAGAATGAAGAACAGCTCATGTTGAAAATATTACTTATCCAGAAATAAAAGTAGCATATTAAATATGCACGTAAAGTTCTAAAAAGAGGTAAAATGTGATAAAATATGATACTTAAAAGTTAATGGAAACACATTTAACGTTTAATGAAACATTTGATTTAATTTCAACTTTCAAAAACTAAATATACATACTTTATAAATATACATATTCAAGTAATTTAATGAGGTCTGAAGTCCTCAGGAAGAAACCCCAAGAAAAAAGAACTTTTAATAGCTTTCAGGTTTCTCTAAATTACTTATTCAAGTTGCTCTAAATTACTTAGACATTCATATCCCTCCATGATCTGCTCTGTTCCTGCTTGAATTTAATTTATGTGACCCCTTCCCTTATCTATGCTCCAATTAAACTAAATGGCTTGCTATTCCCCAAATCCAATCTACTCTTTAGTTCTTTCATCCTCCCAGAATATCTTTTTCTCTTGCACTCATCTATTCAAATCCTATTCATGATTTAAGAGCCAGCTCAAAGCCCTCTTTCATGTAAATCTGGGCTTTACACCACAGGCTGTAAGTTGACCTCTCTCCTTCAGGGTTGTTATCTCTGTTTGCAGATGCCTTTCTTAACAGAATATATTCTCCTTAATGAGTGAGTTCATACATATAAACAGAGAGAGAGAGAGAGAGAGAGAGAGAGAGAGAGAGAAAGGAATATCTTCTTGCATTGACCAAAGTCACCCTGGAATTAGAACTACATCCCTGGGTAGCCATCACAAGGCAAGAAGGTCATTAGAGCTCATTAATACTCCTATATTTTTAATTGCGTGGGAAGAGAAACATGCTTCCACCCTCAGGAAAGCATTTCACCATCACACAGCATTAGAATAAAAGATCTTCCCAAGACTGACTTTATGAAGTCATTCTCCAGATCCTATTCAGAAGGCACTCAGAATCCAACCAGGAAGACCCATCTGCAATTTGATTGATTTATCCACATAGCCCTGGTAAATATGGAACAGCCTTAAGGTGCCTCACATGGCCAAGCAAGGCCATCAAATCCCACCTCTTCTTACCTGTAGTAAGTGTTAATGGAAGGCTCTTGCCAAGGCAGGATGTAGCCTCCTCTGACATGAAGGTTGATGTGGTCTAGGGGAGCCTTCAGTATTACCAACTCACCTGTGGATCTGTAGGCAGATTCCTAGGAAGGATCATACAGGCAAGATATGGGAACAGATGAACTGTTGAGAGCCACAGCTGAAGGGGCCCCAGCAAACTTCCAGCTGCCAGCAAACTGCCAGCTGCCAGCTGATGATTGGCTCACAGCGGCCCCAGCAAACTTCTAGCTGCCAACTGATTGGCTCTTCTGGGGTGATGCTCATTGGGCTGTTTTCCCGCCCTTTCAGACCACAGAGCTGCTCATTGGGGGACTTTTTTTGGCTCTGCCTATGCAACCCAGCCAATCAGCCTCAAGAGCAGGAGGAATGGGGGGAGTTGAGAGGCTTGTGGGAAGCCGGTGGTGGCAGTTGGGCTCTGAGGGTTTTTCCTAAAGAGCTGTGTGGTGCGGTGTGTGTGTTCTAAAAATAAAGTTCGTTTCTTTTGACAAGTGGCTCCTGAATTGTGCCCAGCCAGACTGCAGCAATGAACTGATTAATTGAATGCATGTTCCATTACAAGTCCTTCTTTTCAAAGAAGTTAGCAACATATTGCAAATTGGAAGAGAAAACTTTATTTTTTTCATTTTGCTCAAGACTCTGAAAACCTAGTCTTTTCTCTGTCTTTCCTGAAGGGTAACTGGTAGACATCAGTGGGATCCAGAATCTCAGATTTTATCTATTTATGCTTTAATGCATCCCTTCATTTAAACAAATCTTGCAACAGCTGAAAAGGCTTGAAGTTACTGCCATAGAAAATACATGTTCAGAAGTCAGAAGCAAGCTCTAACCACTTCTCTAACCTGCACAGATACATTTGTTCTTACCGTGCTATAGTCATACCACTGGGCTCTGGGAAAATAAGCACTGATCTCAAATGTGTTCTGAAACACAAAATGAACATGTCATTATTGAGTATTGCAATAAGGAAATAATTTTAACTTTTAAATCATTTTCTGAAGAATTAATATTAAAAATAGAATTCTATTAGGATGTCAAGAATTTGAGATTTTTTAAAGAAATTGTCTGAGAAATTCTTCTTCAAATACACAGAAAATAATTTTTTATAAAGAGTAAGTTGGAAAAGGGCAAAAGATGACAAAAATTTATAATGAGAAGTTAATCGTTACTGTGAGGCTTTCATTAATGGGAATCTTGGAAAAAAAAAACAAAAAGATCTCCTTGAGACGTTCTAGAAAGTAAACAGTGATTGTGACAAGACAAGGGGATATTGAAAATGCTTTTCCTGTGACTTGGCACTGTGTGATAAGAGGCTTTCTGATCTACAATGAAAAACTCACACTTTCCAGCACAGGGCTGATCAAGATGGCAGGTCCCAACATAAACTGACGGTCTATATCCCACGTTGTCTTGTCATCTGTAAACCTTAAATGATAAATATGAAAATTCATGCACACTGTTACAGAGGGTGATTTACAAGACCTGTCCAGATCTGCAGGCCACCCACAGGCGAGGGACACAGGCTATACTCACTCATGGAAAAGGGGTCGGATGACGGTTCTGCCCTCTGCGTGAGCATTATGCATCAGAGTGTAGAGGTAGGGCAGCAGGGTATATCTGAGCTGCAGGGCTTTCCTTGAGAAGTTCGCAAAGGTTGAATTCCAGGCCACAGGATCTTGTCTCTAAAGGGATAAGAGAGCACATCACAGATCACCAATTTTTGTAGCATCAGAAAGGGGTTATCCAATGTGTACACTGGATATATATACTTCATTCCAGCCTACTCTTTACCCTGCCCTGCCACGTGAAAAACTAGAAAGTGTGAAAGTGTTGCTCTTTCTTTTTACACTGATCCCTAAGGACCACACCCAGGTCCAGCTTTGCCCTTGCACATGTGAAGAGAAGTAGTTCTCTATTCAGTGCTAATATGTCTCAGGTGAATCTGAATGCAACACAAATTCAATATTCTTAAAAGCAAAAGGTGCTTCTTATATTTCAGTCCTATGCAGGAACTATAAAAACTTCTTTCCCCATAGGTACTAATCCTCCAGAACATGATGAATAATGTATTCTTAAAAATTATTGATAACTCTGAAGTTTTGAATTTTGTAGATATTCCAAGAAGAGGAGTTTTTGTGCTGTGTGTGTGTGTGTGTGTGTGTGTGTGTGTGTGTGTGCTTTTTCTTGGAAAATAGGTATGATACTCTTGTGAATTAAAAAGAAGGCTTGGCTGAGGGTACAAACGCCTGCATCGTGAACGATGGCTGCCTCACCCTTGTCCCTTTGGTGTTGTGGTTCCTGGAGAAGGGATAGAAGGCTCCCAGCTGCATCCAGCGAATACACATCTCATATTCAGCATCTCCAGAGAAACCACAGATATCTGCTCCTGTCTGAGAAAATGAAAAAATCAGAGCATGAGAGTTTTTGTGGGATTTTTTGAAGTTGCTGACGACATTGGAATCTGACAAGGCATTACTAATGACTCCAAGATGACTTACATAAGATATTCCAAAGAGACTGAACTCCATCATGCCTGCAATGAGATAATATGGCTGTGTTAGCAGAAGAGGTCCTTTTGGAAGAGAAAATGTTTGACCAATTTTTCCCTACCATTCAAGACCCTGGGCCATTCATAATGAAAATATTGAAAAAAAAAATGATTGTAAATTAAAACCCACAACCACAAAGAACTCAATTCTTAACTTTGCTGCCTGCCTACATGATAATCTATACATACCCAGTACCCCACCCCCCAAAACCAGCAGAGGCTCCAGGAACAAGCCACACACCAATGATAGATTTCCCCAGCTGGTCCCACGCAGCAGTGTTGTCTCCCAGCCAGTGTCCTCCCCAGCGGCCAGAGGAGGGGAATGTGGAGCGGGTGATGACAGTCCCTCGCTGTCCAGTCACCTCCTGCACAGCTCTGGTAGGAGGGGAACAAGATTGAGTTAACTGTTCCATGACCTGAGTTCTTTCACTCATCCTTAACTTGTTAACTGATCAGTCTTTAAAAATGTAGTTTAAAAATGTCCCTCCCATCCTAGCCAAGGTCTGACATTCAATAATGACCTCCTGTTGCTGATTTTCTGACCCCGATTGCATTTTCTACAAATTTCTGCCTATGTGAACACAGCATTGGGAACAAATGTGGTAAATTTTACAAAAGACAATGGACTTTGTTTAGAAGAACTGTTTCATCCTCTCTCTCTCATTCTTCACTGTGTAAAACTAGTCTCCTATTCTCTTTAATTTGTGCATATCAATTAGACAGAACGGGGGGGGGTGTTGTGCCACATTTGTGCATATCTAAAAAAAAAAATTTGATCCATTTTACTCCCCAATACCTTCTCCACCCTCCCCCTAATCTTCTTCCTATCCCCTACTGGATCCCCTCTAATTTCATGAAGTACTTTTGTGTTTGATTTGTTTTTTTTCTTCCAACTTCAATATATGAGAGAAAACATATACTTTTTCTCTCAGTCTGTTTTATTTTACTCAAAAGTATGGTCTCCAGCTCCATCCATTTTCCTGCAATAATATAATTCTGTGGGTTTTTTTAAATGGCTGAATAAAACTCTACTGTATGCATGTGTATGTATGGGTGGGTATATGTATGTGTGGAATATATATATAATATATACATATATAATACTTATACATAAAATTTTCTTTCTTTATTTATTTTCTAATGAATACATAGGCTGATTCCATAATGTTATAATTCATGAGTAAGTCAATGCAATAATGTTCATAAAATAATCGAGACCCTTAACCCAATCAGTACATAAAGAACAAGGGAAAAAAAAAAAGGAACAAGATTGAGGAAGCACAGCCATGGGATTCCGTGCAGCTGGAGCATGAGGTAGCAGTATTGTTCCCTTTGGAGTCAGAGAACTTCTCCCTAAAAGGAATTTGCTATCTGAAAGTGATGCTAAGAATCCTAACCAACTTCACATCAGGACCAGCCCCTAGAGTATGGATTTCATTTCTTAAAAAAAAAGATCTATTAAAATAGTTCTCTATGTGGATGGAAGAGGAGGGATGGGGTGAGGGCTTGACAACTATTTGTGGATCTGTTGCTGTATCCCAGCAGCACATGGTGCATCTTTGAAGCACATGAGGAAGGTCTCCCTGCATTCTTTTTACTGTTAGGAAACTGAAGTTCAGCTAAGTTTCAAAACTTGTTAAATATTATTTATAGAGCAAGGAGGCAAATCTGGGATCCAAATAACAATATATATGACTATAGCTTATTGGTACAATGCATTCTGTTATGCCATGCTTCAAAAAGCAGGTCATAGACAAGGTTTAGTGGTACATGCCTGTCCCAGTGACTTGGGAAGCTGAGGCAGGAGGATTGTAAGTTCAAAGCCATCCTCATCAACTTAGAGAATCCCTAAGCAACTCAGCAACCCTGTCTCAAAATAAAAAGGTCTGGGATTGTGGATCAGTGGTCAGGCACTACAGGAGTTCAATTCCTGGTACCAAAAGAGAAAAGAAAGAAAGAAAAGAAAAGAAACAGCAAGTTATGTTTCCTCATGCACAAACATACATAAAGGATCTCCAAACAGCTCTTGAAAGAAAATGAATCTTCTGTGTACATATGTAGTCAGAAAATAAAACAACTATGTGAGGTTAAAAAAAATCAATAGAACAAAAAAGGCATTATCAAGTGTACAGATACACATTTGTATGTGTATTTGAAGAAATACATTTGAAGAGACAATGGTCAAAAATATATATACTGAAAACTAAAATTATTGTTGAAAGAAATTGAAGAAGTGGAAATATATTCTATATTAATGAATCAGAAGATTTAATATTAGTAAAGAAGTAACACTTCCCTAATTGATCTGCAGGCTCAATGTAATACCTATTGCTGTCTTGTAGAAATTGCCAAGCTGATCCTAAAATTCAAATCAAATGCAAGGAAGCCAGAATATCCAAATAATCTTGAAAAAGAACAAAATTGAAAGTTTCATAACTTGTTAAATAAGACAGCATAGTACTATTAAAAGGTTGATATAGAGATCAATGAAATAGAGTTGAGAGGTCATAAGTAATCACTCTCATTTACTGTTGGTTGATTTTTTAGAAGGTGCCAAGATGATTAAATGGGGGGGAGGAAAAATTAAACCTCTACTTCGTATGGGCATTCTGTGAAAAGACAATTTACAGAATGAGAGAAAATATTTGCAGACCATATATATAACAATCACTTGTATCCAGAATATATGAAGTGTTTTTACAATCCAATCCTAAAAACAAATAACTTAAAAATAGACAAAGAATTCCAATAGACATTTCTGCTAAAGTGATACATAAATTGCCAATAGGTATATGAAACAATATTCAACAGAACTTAATTAGGGAAATGAAGACAAAAATTGATGTACTTTACGTCCATTAAAATATCTATAATAAAAAGGGTAAAAATAGCTTGTGTTGGTATGGATACAAAGTAACTTAAAACCCATTATAATGTCTATAATAAAAAGGGTAAAAATAACTTGTGTTGGTATGGATACAAAGTAACTTCAACCCTCATCCATTGCTGGTGAGAATGTCAAATGGTATTTTTTCAAGGCCAAACTCTTTAGACAGTTCTTAGAAAGTTAATATCTCTAAGATATTAAATATACGGTTACCATACAATCTGAAAATTCTACTCCTAGATATATATTAAAGAGAAAATAAACACATTTCGATTCAAAATCTTGCAGTAAATGTTTATACATGTCTATTCATAATAGCCAAGATCTGAAAACCACTCAAATGTCTGCTAGCTGATAGACACATGAAATGTGCTCCATCTTGACGGTAGAATATTATTCATCAATAAAAGGAATGGAGTACTGGTACATCCTGCAACATAGATGAACCTTGAAAACACATACCAGGGAAAGAAGCCAGACACAAAAAATATTAGGCAATTTCATCTACTTGAAATACACAGAATGGATAATGTTAATGACAGAAAGTAGCTTAGTATTGGCTGGAGCTCAGGAAGTGGGGACAGGGAGGAATGACTGCTAACAGATCAAGGTTTTTCTTTTGAAATGATGAAAATATTCTAAAATTTTATTTTAGTGTTGGATGTACAACTCTGTGAATGTACTCTGGGTTGTTTGGGCAACCAGGCGTGATCTGTTTGACATTGCTCTATTTAGCTGGCATCATGTAAGTACAAACGCAATACAAATATGAAACAACAAATACAGGAATGCAGAAAATTATCTGCGCCGCAATTGACAAAAGCACTCACTCATATGTGGGTCTGGTCTGGGACCACCCGTACAGGCTGTGTACGTCATAGTGTCGCACCCGGGAGCCATCTGGCAGGATCTGCTCACTCTCCATGCACAGGGTCTTACTGCTCAGGCCTTTGTCCCTAGATTCCAAGTCTGAGGGGAAATGTTGAGTTATTTCCCAAATGACTTGTACATTCATTCTGACATTTCTCTATTTCAATCAGCACTTTTGTTACTAGTAACAGGTTCAATTTCCGGGGTTTTTTTTTTTAAATGTACAAAAGCAACATCTTATGACTTAATAAAATTTGTAAAAGGTAAGAATGGGGTATGGCAGGGGAAAAGTACCCTTGGCTGTGTTCCAACTCTAACTTAAGGAATGCTGTCACCACTGGTTTTACAAGTTGACAAACTCCTTGGGTGAAAGGATTGGGTTTTCCACTAGATGGTAATGTTCTCAAGGGAATAGATCTTGTTTTTCTCAATCTCACCAGCGTTTGCCTGTCATATACATGTGGGAGGAAGGAAAAACTGAATGAAAGAATAATTGAGTTAACAGACACAGCTCTGCACGGCAGTGATCTAGACACAAAGAAACCTGTGTCCCAGATTCTGCTTCATGAATTTCTGGTACACTGCTCATAGGAACTTACTTCCTTTTGGGGCCTCTGTAAGATGAGAGGATTCAATCATTTGAGAAGTGTTTGATCCCAACATCATATTTCAGTTTGCACCTGGAACTACCAAACTACTATCTTTCATGAACTATCTGCAAACACAGGCTGAAAGTTCAGGACTAGATTTTCATTTAAAAATAGAGAGAGAGAGAGAGAGAGAGAGAGAGAGAGAGAGAGAGAGAGAGAAGGGGTTTATTGAAAAGTTTAGCATTTGGGGCAATTATCAAGAGTACAAGTAACAATGAATGTTGGCAAGGATGTGGGGGGGAAAGGTATAGTCATACATTGCTGATGGGACTGCAGATTGGTGTAATCACTTTGGATAGCAATGTGGAGATTCCTCAGAAAACTTGGATTGCAACCATCATTTGATCCAGACATCTCACTCCTTAGTCTATACCCAAAGGACTTAAAATCAGCATACTATAGTGACATGGCCACATCAATGTTTATAGCAGCTCAATTCACAATAGGTAAGCTATGGAACCAACCTAAGTGCCCTTCAACAAATGAATGGATAAAGAAAATGTGGTATATATACACAATAGATTATTATTCAGATATAAAGAAGAATGAATTATGGCATTTGCTGGTAAAAGGATGGAACTGGAGGCTATCATGGTAAGCAAAATAAGCCAATCCCAATAATCCAAAGGCCACATGTTCTCTCTGATATGTGGATGCTAACACATAATGAAGGGGGGGGGGCAGAGAATAGAAATTCACTGGATTAGACAAAGGGGATGAAGGAAAGGGAGGGGAAAGAAAGCCAGTGGAATGAGTCGGACTTAACTTTCCTACATTCTTATATTAGTACACATCCAGTGTAACTTCACATTATGTACAATGACAAATAAGGGAAGTTATACTCCATGTATGTATAATATGTCCAAATATCTAAAAAGAACATTTTTCTCATATATATCTAAAAAGAGCAATTTTTTAAAGTTTAGCATTCAGTTCACCATTGTCAACATAATACAACGCATTGCTTGGTTTCTTTCATACAATGTCATGTCATTATTTCTACACGCACACACACAAAATTAGGCTTTACTTTGACAGTAAGAGGGAAATCTTCAGCGTTTGAACAGGGCAATAATTTGATAAAGTAACATTTTACCTACCTGGCATATAGGGTGGGTTATTAAGAACTTCACTGCGGCAGCCCCCAACAGATCCATCCACAAAGTTTGAAGGCTCATTCATATCCTGGATTAAGTGAGCAAGAGAAGATTCCATCACGTCAGGTCCGTATGGCCTTCACCTAGAGGACTCTAGCTGCAGAAGATGCCTGGCCTGCACTGAAGCTTCGTCTCTGTAGTGGCTCAGGGGACTCTGCTTAATCCTGGCATTGACTTAAGTGGACTTAAGAGTCCACATCTGCTTCTGTGGAGTGTTAAACTCCTTCCGGCTCACTTGGCATTTTTAAATTTATGAAGTGGTAACCTAGCAGCAAAAATATTGAGACTATGCTGAATCCAGAACCTAAGGAAATATTTTGATTCATCTATACCACAGGAGAAGCACATCTTTCTTTGTCTACCCACAAATTATTCACTTTGTATCTGCAGCCAGGGGCCACTATGATCTCTCTCTCCTTTTTCTTAGCCAATAGCTTGGACTAATTCTGATATCCGCGTGCACCAAACACAAGGAGACATCTCTCCCTTTCTGCAGTAGACACATTCCTGAAAAGTTGTATATGATTCAGAAACCAGTCTGGAAATAAAATCATATTTTGGCAAAAAGTTGTCTACTTTATAAATAGAGAAGTTAAAGTTTTGTATGTTATGTTATCTTATATGGAACATACTAAAGGCAAAGACAAGTATTTGGACAACTATTCATTATTTTGAATTATGCAGCTTTCTTTCAATGGGAACAAATACTTCAGTTATCAGAATCTCTTGTTTCTCAAAGTTATCTATATCTCTTCACTGTCTGATTTGCCTGTTTGCGTTCATTTATGCATTCCCACCTGTCTGCTCTGTGCCTATTTACCCTGAAGGTTCAAGTGGTCAGGGAGGCCCCCAGGCAGACAGTGGGCTTATAGGTTTGTCTCTTGTGAATCACAAGCTTCTTGCAGCCTGACCCAGCCTTGAGCGGCTCTTCCTAGCTGACCTGGTAACTGCTTAGGTTTTCAGGCCACTAGATAGAGGGGAAGGAAATCACGACATTGATAAGATTCCTATCCTTAGAAAAACATAAATAGAGGGGCCCTTGGACACATGTCCCAGAGACACCTCCAGAAGCCCTTCACTCAGGGCTTTTTAAGGTATTCCTTCAGGGTAAATGTTTCTTTGCTCATAGATTTATGCCTTGCCTGTCCCCAGTTCTGCCCTGGGTTGCAGGACAGGCTTCAGGGCTTCTAGGTCAGTTTAGCCAACAGGAAGCACCAGCAAGAGATGGAGGGTTGAGAGTAAGAGACAGGGCACCGCTCCCTCTCCCGCATGCCCTGGCATCTCCTGCAGTAGCACGTCTCCTCCATGGGCTCCCACTTCCTCCAGAAGACATGACCCTGGGCGGGTCCACAATAATCTCTGCTACTCCTATTCCCAGGACGTAGGTTCTGTACCGTCACCCTTCCTTTCATGCCTCTGGTTCCAGTGCCCTGCTTCTTCTAGTCTTGGAATTGCTTCCCCAAGTTTTGAATGTGAACATTCTAAAGAGTAACCACTGAGGGTGCACTTACGATCGACAGCCCATCAAACTTCAAGCTCTTCCCTGGCTCTCTGGGGTTGGCATAGAGCTCGTTTATCTCTTTCTTCCACCATGCAGCTGTGCTGTTTCGAAAGAAGTCAGGGAACGCAACGTGGGCCCTGTACATCTGTAAGAGTGACACGTATTGTCATAGTGAGGTCATGCATGTCCAAGAAGGGGAATCCTGGGAACAGGAAGGGCAGATGAGCAGGCTCTTGAGCCTGTCCAGCTCAGCGTCTGATTTAACCTCAATTCTGCTGCTGTTGGTGTTTCAAAGTTTACAGTGGACACACAGTTGGGGAAAGGATGCGTTCATTCTTAATTTTCTTAGAAAAGGGTTAGATATCTTTTAAACGTAGAATTTCCTTTATGACTAGAAAATTAGTCATGGCAACTAGAAAACCAATAGTCAGCATCTAAACAATGTAAATTTAGAGATGCATGACTCATTTGACTCATCAAATGAAATGCAGGAGGACCCCATAATCCAAGGAGAAGCAAGCTGCACAGTAGAGGGGTTGGTGGGTGCCAGGCTGATGTGGGAGCAAGGACTGAGACCAAGTCGTTTGCTCCTTTCAACTGGCTAGTGTTTGCTTTGGTATGTAGGTAATTCATTAACCTGCAAAGGGTATTTGTTCATAAGAGATACTCTTCCGAGAAAGCATTCTGAACTTTGGTTCCTTATTTTTCAAGCAACACTAGATTCAAATTGCAATCCATTAAAGGCATACAGGTAAGGAACTCCCTGGGTAATTTTCTTGTATACTTTTCCATTTTAGCTATTTTTTAGGTTTCTCATTTGAGGATCACCTTCTGCAAAAAAAAAAAAAAAATACCACCAGACAAGCACACTGGCATTAAAGCCACTTAACCAGAGCATAAGCTATTTATCTAACAGAATAAAACAAATAATATCCAGATATGTAGGGCAATGAAGACCAAAATCCATGCATGACTGTACCTTGACCTGAGTTTCCTGGTCAAGGGATTCATCCACATTTACATTGGGCAGCTCTGGCCAAACCTAGAGAAAAAGAGGAAATATTGAAACCTTTAAGTCATGGCAAACAGACCATGAGGTGTTTCATATGTTAGACTTTCATGACATGCATCTTCACAAATGCTGGGCATCTTGGCCATAAATTAAATTGTAAATACAAATCAATAGATGAAATCCTGCTAGGTGAAATCCTGTTAGGCTCAGATCTTTTTGTTTCATTCCATAAGTTTTCATAATGTTATTTTTAACTTAATAAGTAACCCAATTCATTTTAGATGTGTCTTCTAAGTAACATCTTTCAAATAATTACTCCGTTTTCTGGTCTGCCTTTTATTTTGTGTATAACAAAATTCCCTTTATAAAAATAAATGTTAAGGTTGACTCTAAGAATAATATTGATTTACATTTATAGCCATAAACTCTGTCTCAATAGTTCTAAGTAATACCATAACTTTTGGGCACCCACAAATGTACTTAGTGTTTAAAATAACTTTCACATATCAACCAAATTCATCTGTAATTAGTAGGACTTTATATACATTGATTAATTAATTCAACCAGGAAACAGTAACTGAGCACTTATTATGAGGATTTATATCTACTGAGATTATAGCAGTAAATACTGCCTGTTATTTCCAAGAGTTCACAGATAGTAATATATAAGTGCTACATGGTATGCTATACTCTCTCTGGAATGACACCAAAAAGGGAAAAACAGCAATTGAAACAGTTATTGAGTACTTCTCAAGAAGTAAGATCTGGGCTGGGGATGTGGCTCAAGCAGTAGCGCGCTCGCCTGGCATGCGTGCAGCCCGGGTTCGATCCTCAGCACCACATACAAACAAAGATGTTGTGTCTGCCGAAAACTAAAAAATAAATATTAAAAACTCTCTCTCTCTATCTCCCCCTCCCCCCTCTAAAAAAAAAAAAAAAGTAAGATCTGAGTTCGTCTTGGGGTGCAGATATTATCTGGGGACACGGGGAAGGCTATATTCAAAGTGAGAAAGGCATGTATCCAGCACTGTAGGCAGCAGCATAGCAAAATTAAGGAACAGAGTTGGAACCTGGCAGAAGCTACTGTCATGTGGGTCATGAAGTTCACATAAAACACTGCTGCTATCAATCAGATAAATGAGGATGAGGATTGAGGGCACAGAAAAGGAATTCAAGGGGTCAAAGAAAAAAACAAGAATCTCTAGGACTTGGTGATTCATTTAAATGAGAGGCTGAGTAAACATCGTAAGTCAAAGGTGATTGTGAGTTTTGAGTTTAGGTGGCTGGGAAACACAGATTTCAGAGTCTCTCTCTCTCTATGGGATTCCTAATGTTTACTACTAAATGACTAGCTGGAATACATAAAGCATGGGACATCAGAACATACCCAGGCAATAACCTGGTGTTCAATATCTAGATATTGGTCTGACCTTGGTCTTATTAATGTGTATTAAGCTAATCATCATCAGATAGATTTCTACTCATTCATAATTTATTAATTAACCAATATATTTTTGTATGATTTATTGAGAGCACCTTTTAATCAAGACATAGTGCTGTGAATTAATTATAGCCCCTTCCCCAAGCCTCACCTTTCCCCAGACAATGTCATTGGTGTCGGGCCATTTGATGAACACGTTGTCTTCCTGTCCTCTGGTGAAGGTGAGATACTGTGTCTCATTGCCAGAAATGGCTGGGTCCTGCAGTGACGGGATTTAAGACTGCAAAGGTGAGAAAAATGTCCCTAAGGAAAGTCCTCTCCCAAACTTTGACAATTTAGTGCAGAAAGAAATGATGGATCAAAATAAAATTATATAAATAAAAAAGCATTGATAATTTGACATATCTACTGGGAATATTACATAACCAATTAAAATGGAAGTTTCCACCAGAACCCAAAAGTAAGATAGATGACCCTTATAAAGGATGACCTCTTTCAAAGGGAGCAAGAATCTTTTACATATTATAGAAAGTAAACACTCAGAGCCATAACTAAAGAAGTGAAAAAAAATCATAAAAATTGAAATATAATATGACATATGTGACTTTTCCAATAAACAGGGAAATTAATATTTCAAAAAAGAGACCTAAGAATTAAAAGAATTTGTTAATATTTCTCCATAAAATTATTGAGAAATAAAGATGTGCTAATGTTTGGAAAACAAATTCTGGAGATAAAAGCAGTTTAATAAGATATTATCCTCAATTGGAGAGAGATAATTTATAGCATTTCCAGAGTCCAACAGCAATGCTCCTTAAGAAATTGAACTTCTGCATTCTATTCTCTGGTGCGGCCATCTGAGATGGACATTGATGTTCAGCCATCTCATTCTTCCCCAGTTACTCTCTATATTGCGCTGTTTCCTAATTGCCATGTAAATCATCATTATCTGAAATTATCTTCCTAATAGTTTTTTATTGGCTGTCTCCCTTTACTAGAATAAATGCCATTAATTCGTTAATTTAAAACACACGCACTCTTTCTAAAACAGTGATTTTCAAGTAGCCAATGTTTTGTAAATACTTAAATTTTAAAATGAACAAGAATCATGCTCTGATTTTTGGAAGCTAGAAGGAGGAAATCCTTTGTGGGTAGTTACTTCTGTATTTACCAAGATATAACTTCCAATGTAAAATAATAAGTTGGCATTCTGGATCTTACCTCCGTTGTTTGTGGGCTTAATAAAAGAGAAATGGGTCCCCTAAGACTCATGGTTGCTGAATGATGATACAGTATAAGAGATTTTTTAACCCCCTGCAGTTTCCTAAAAATGAGACTGAGCTATAGCTATTCATCCTGAAGCCTGAAATAGTGAGACCCTTTTTTCTTTCCTACATTCAGTGTTTCTGCCCACAGTTGTCCTAACTCTCTCCCTAAAAAAGTATTGATTAATTAAATCCTAGTGGCATTCAGCAATGAAAAAATAATAAATATGTCGAAGTATCACCTCTTACAATGCATTTTTTTCACCTGTTCTTTCTTTCTTTATTGGCTTTTCAAAACTTTTAAAAGATAATAATTAAAGACTCACAGGAAGAGGCCGAGATGTGTTTGTGGGGGAGGGTTTCTTTTACCTTTTTCCCAGTTCTTCCCAGGGGTTTAATTTTTGAATCGTGAACACAGAAACAGAAAGAGGCATGCAATCTGCCTTCACACCTACCAGAATGAGAATAAATCTGGTGCCATTCTTCTTCATTTGCTCTATCAGGACACCGAGGTTTTGAAAGCTGGGGCTGAGGGTGAAGTCCAGCTTCCGGTCCATGTAATCGATGTCCACATGCTGGACGTCCTACAAGAAGGAGCGGACACTCTGGCTCCTGCAGTGGTACCTGCAGGGCACACTAACTGCTCTTCCAGGCTTCAGACCCTGCTGCTTGTTCCCCCAGCCCCTGCCCTCATCATTCCCCATCTCAATACCCACTACACTGACTTTGTAATTATGTTGATTGACCTTGCTTTCTGATTCCCGCTCACAATTCACTTGTCCCCACTTTCTTCTTCTGTGCCCCCAACAGGAACTTGCTTTCTCTCAATTTATGTCTTACTCACTCTTCAAATCTCAAATTTGGTGAGCCTATCCTATAAAAAGCCAGTTGAAGTGTTCAAGAAAATGAGACTTCCCTAATAAACCAAAAAGGTTGCGTATCTAAGTTTCTTTTTTTCCTACAGTAAACCGTATCAAATTAAATCAACTTAGAATACATATTTTACTTTAATATATATATATATCACGTGTTTATTATATTGTAAATAGAATATCTATATATTCAAGAAAGATTTAACATTCTCTAATATTTATTTATTGTTTGTCTCCCTTCACTGAAATAAATGTCTTTTATTCACTAATTTAATATATATTATATATATATAATTTATATACAACATACATATATATTATATATGACTTATATAATATATTGTATATAATTTTAAAGACATATAATTCATAGGATTTATATACATAAATAGCATGATTGCTTTGGTGAGGCAGATCTATGAACTTTTTAATCTTGTGATTTTCCTATATTTTAAAATTTCTGTTTAATAAGTTTATAATAAAAGTTAAGCATGGACATGTGTCAATTTAAAAAAAAAATTTGTGGTTGTAGATGGACAGAATGCCTTTATTCTATTTGTTAATTTTTATGTGATGCTGAGGATAGAACCCAGTGCCTCATGCACACTAGGCAAGTGCTTTGCTACTGAGCTATAGCCCAGCCCTCAAATTATTATTGATGGGAATATCATAGCACTTTATTCTCATCTTCCAGTTGTTAAATGCCTTTAAAAATCTCAGGAGGTGAACTGAAAGCCAATAAAGACAATGAATGGTAGAAAACTAATCAGTAGAGAAGGAGTGCACTGTTTGTGGAATCCAGTTGACCACACTTCTCAGGGCTTTCCTGGGGAGCTAGGTGGGTACTTAGGATATGTGTGTGTGTGTGTTTTAAAGAAAGCAAAGGCTTCATTTTAATCACTTCCTTGCCTATTGCCACTTCATATCCATCTCACACAGACCCCCACTTCTAAGACTGCCTTGGCCACTACATGATGTTCCAGCGAGTCAGTGGGTGCCAATACCCTCCGCTCATTCCACCAGTGGCCAAAGGATTCATGCAACTCTTAGTTTTGAACCTCGACTCAAAAGGGCAGCAGGCAAAGACTTTAAAAAACAATGTATTCACACAGAACTAGCTCCACAGCTACAGGATTTATGCTGAAGTAGCCACAGTAATAATTTCAATGAAGCTGTTTTCAATACACAATTAGTCACAGAATCCCATAGCTAAACCCAGAGGTTGAGGGAGGGTTTCATACATAGGGGATCTGGGCTGCCACCATTGCATCATGCAGACTGGCGATTTCAGAGTCATTCTGGTATCCATAGCGACTCAGCTGGAATCCCAGAGCCCAATATGGAGTCATTGCTGGCCGACCAATCAACTAGAATAGAAGAATGCTAATTACCCTGATAAGATCATTACACATTGTATACATATACCAAATTATCATACCAAACCCCATAAATGTATGCAAATGTTATGTCAATTAAAAAAATTAAAAATAGATCCAAGTAACTTTGTAAGGAAGAAAAGATAGTTGACTTTTGTTTGAAATAATTTGAAAATTTCTACTGACTACTGTCTGACCTGAGGCCACCCTCCAAAAAAATAGGGAAATCAAATAAATGTGGAACAACTCTAGAGATGAAGAATGCTAGAAACATTGTAATTAACATTTCCCTATATTCTATTACACTGTGAAACCTGAGAATGTGGTGGTCATTACTGATCTGAGATTCTTAAGATAGGCTATTTAGCAAGCAATTGAGAGACGTGTAATATTCATATGCATTTAGCATCCATATTAGTAAAATCTGACTTACACCCCAGGGTAAAAAGAGAAAGACTGACTCATCTCAGTACTGAAAACATGGTAACAATACCCAATAAATATTTAGTGATATATCAATGGATAGAATGGCTTCCAACCTCAGTGTATTGCTGAGTTACCAGTTCGGGGGTTGGCCCCAAAACCAAATAAAAGTCCAAAATCCCTCCTACAGTGCGGTATGTCAGGGCAGGAGTGGGCTGCAGAGTCATATCTGTAAAAATTTTAAAATAAAGAGATAGATGAGGAGCTTGTAAGACACCCAGAGAGAGAGCTGCTCTAAAATGTGCTGTCTTCACTCTCCTTCCTTCATGTCTACCTCCTCTAGAATGTCCTCCCTTGTCCAGTGGAGTCAGAGATAGACCTGTAGTACCCCAAACTGCGTCTACCCCATTATATGACATTCAATAGCTGATATCTCCTGCATTAAGGAACTGAAGTGTCACAGCAAAATAAGGGACCACAGTTAGTCAAATGGTACAATTAATGCCTGTTCTGGAACAATTTTTAAGTATTGAATAAGTGAACAAATGAATGGAAGGTCAGTTTGTCCAGGCCAATTTCCTTGCCCCTTAGCTTATTCATTTCTAGCAATCTCCCAGATGACAATGGAGTGGTCAGGTTGTTTGTGGTGGTGCCTGGGGAGCACGCCCCTGTCTTACCCATGGCATTGCTGTTCAGCAGGAGCACTCCATGGGCATTCCCATCTTCTTCCAAGGCCATGTAGTAGGGATGAACACCATAGGAATTTTTCTTGTACTGGTAATTGAAAGTCATGAGAGTAATAGAAAGATAAAAATCCAATAGTTTCCAGATCATAATCCAAACAGCAAACTCATATTCCATGTAAAAGATTTGATTCAGCGTTATATCCTCTGTAGAACCTTCTTTGACCTTCCTTTCCACCCCAGCCTAAAACCTATGTCCTCCCCCTCTCTGTCACCTTTATTGATTATTACATAATTCTTTTTTTTTCCTTGTGGTACTGGGGATTAAACCCAAGGCCTTGCTTATGCTGAGCAAGTGCTCTGTCACTGTGTTACCTCGTCAGCTTCTTATATTTTTACTTTTGAGATGGGTCTCACTAAGTTTCCTAAACTGGCCTTGAACTTGTGACCCACCTTCCTCAGCCTTCCAAGTAAATGTTCACCAACATGTGTGGCTTATTATTACACGATTCTATCACAGCACTCACTACACTGTGCTATCATTATTTCTACACCAATCTGTCTGTCTATAAACTTCTGAAGGGCAAAGACAGTGTCTTATTAAATTTGCAGATAAGCATCTAGCAATGTGCTCAAACATTGAATATATTAAATAAAAGTTTGTGAAATAAAATTTTTAATCCATGGGAGATGGGTGGAAAAATATATGTTATGAGTTTACCTGTGGCCTCTAATAACCTTACAACCAAGAGCTAGAAAGGTGAGGCTGATAAATGGAACCTCATTTACTGGCCTAAGAATTAAAAGTAAATTTGCCGAAGGAGAAACTGCTAATTTCATTTTTGTCCTTACCGCTGGTGGCTCATCCCGAGCAAACATTCCCCAGGTTGTCCAGTTCATGTTTCTTCTGAAAGTCATGTGCTCAGTTTCCCCAAAACCATAGATGTACTGAGAAGGGAGGCGAGTAGAAATGGAAAGGAACATGTCGTTGAAGGTGAAGCCCGGGAGTTGAGAATCCCAACTGCAACACAAAGGCAAACCTCCAAGCTGAGCTGCAGATCTCAGGCAGAGCAAATGGAGCAAATGGGATGCCTAGATGATTCAGAAGCCTCTTGAATCATTGCACATCAAGATCCAGGTTCAAATGTTATAAAAGGACCAGGTCATAACAATAGCCATGACTCAGTACCAAGGTTCCACATTTGCATTTTAATTCTGTGCTTTGCAAGACTGAGAGCTCCTTCTCAGAACTATGGGCTCATTGAGGGCAAGTACCAGGTCTCATTCATCTCTTTATGTCCAGTTCTCAGTGCCTGGCATACCAGCAAAATAATAATAATAAATGAATGAGATCTAAAAAGTACTTTTGGATAGAAAAAGTTGACACTCTTGGAATAACTTCTCTAGATTGACCAGAAAACTCACTGAAAATGAAAACAGAGAAAATCAGATACATAGTCAAAGATAGCAGAAGCCACACATAGGAAAAAACACAAATGTGCATACAAGTGACAACCTTTGCTGGGATGGGAGGCCTCACCCTGGGCAAAGCCTGGACCTCAAGCATCAGGATAAGAGGTAAGAAATGACAATCCACATTTTCACACTTAATATCATAAAAATGCTTGAAGTCTATGGTGTCTATAGAACCAAAGATGATGAAAGTCCATTTCTCTCTTCTCTTTCCTCTCTCCTGACTCTTCAATTATTATTTCTTAATGAAGCATAATACAGAACAGACATATCTGAGGTTATTTGTTATACTTATTTAACAGTTTTCTGTTCTACTTAACAAGAGTAACAAATAGGAAAGATATTTCTTTCTTTGAATTCAAATAACACTTGTGGCTTTTTAAACCTAAGGTTGATTAATCTTTCTGAGTTAATGACTAACATAAAAATAAATTCCCTAATGAAGTAAGAGGAAATTGACATGCTCTTTAACAAATACACACACACATCATGAAGAGTCTCTGAGACTAATATTTTACTTGCCTTAATTAGCAACACCATAATTACCATCAGTCACTCTGATTAAAGCCAATAAATAGCACTTACATCACAGTTTGGGAACTTCTGCGTCGAATCTGGATTCCAGGGGGATTGTTCTGAACCCTGACTTCATACAGGCAGTTTTCAGGGGAGACAAGCGGTGAACGTGGTGTGTTCAGAGGTACCGGGACCTCGTACCTTTTATTAGTGGGATCATAGATCTGGCAAAGAGAGAAAAATAAAAAAACTCTTCCTGATGGAGTCTGAGACCTGATACCCCTCATGTTGGCCCACAGAATTCATTTCCAATGTTGTTTGTTTGTTTGTTTTCGACCAGTTTGAACCACATCAGGAGGCACTGAATATCCCAAAAGCAGTTGCGAGGCCTCCTTATCTACTGTGGCAGATTCTGAGCTTCCAAAATGCCTCAATAATACCCACTCGAGAGAACTTGTAATCTAAGGTTATAGAATCTTGTGGATAGAGTGTGTATATGTACTTAGGATGTGTGCTCTATGAACATACATGTGCATGTAACTTCAAGACTGCATGTGAGAGATTGCATGTGTATACTGGGAACTAGACCTCTTTACCACTTGAGCTTCCAGATGCTGTATGCCTTCTCAGTCCTTCAGGTTTCTCCTTTGTACCCTCTATTCATTCCTACTCATCTAATAGGATTGGTGTGAGAAAAAACAAGAGGACTGCGGCATGCATGCAAGATAGGGACCGTCACCATCATGGCGACCATCCCCTCCTCATGCTGCTATTAGCCCACAGCCTGGACTTCAGTAAAGCTTTTTATAAAGCCCTACTTTTCAAAACTCTGTTTCTTAAACCAAAAACAGCAGCATTGCCTGGGAGCTTGTTAGGAATTCAGACTCAGCCTCTGTCCCAGATCTGCTGGTCAGAACATTTGGTTTCACAGGATGCCCACAGTGATGGAGGACACACTCAAGTGAGAGGAGCATGTCAAGAGCAGAGCTGCTCAAGCCTGTGTCCACCAGCCATGTGTGGCTTTTGCACACCAGAAATGCATGAGTCTAAATCAAGATTCACCACAAGTGCAAACACATACCAGATTTTGATGACTTAATTAAAATGTTGTGAAATATCTCTCCACAATTAAACTTGGATTTCAAAATGAACTGATACATATTTTAGAACATTGATTAAATGAAATAGCTAATTTACTTGTATGTGTGTGTGTGTGTTTTTCAAACATGTTTTTTTTAAAAAAATACCCCTACTAGAAAACAAACTTGGTTCTCACTGTATTTCTGGTAAGTAAAGGACAAGAGTGGGTCTCAAAGTGTGGCCCTTTCACCTGAAGCATCAGTCAGCATTGCTGGAGAACTTAGAAATTCAAATACTCAGGCTGGGCCAGCCCAGAATGCTGAACTGGAAACCGTAGGGTGAGGCTGAGCAGCCTGAGTTTTAACATCTGCAGGTGATTCTGATGCATGTTAAAGTCTGAGAGCCACTATTAAAGAAATAACTAGAAATTTTGGAAGCCAGTTGGTTCCTCTCATTTGTATTAACCACAAATCAAATTCATGTTTTCAGGGCTAAGAATTTTTTGAGAATATTTATGATCTAGAGAATTCATTATTATAGGAAATTCACAAGCCTGATGGATCTAAGGTCACACCCTGCCTCTGTTATTTACTTCTGACTTTATCTCTCTAAGGCCTTCTCAGCTCTTGCATCCTTAGCAGGGAGATGTGGATTAAAAAGTCTTTTCATGACTTTCGTCTACACAGGCCTGTAGGTTAAGAACTCCCCTTGAAAACCAGAATTGGCAGCATGGGAATTACCTTTATCTGCAGCATGCTCTCTGTATGGTAGGTCACACTCAGTCTGAGGAGGCTGATCTTTTCAGAGAGACGATTAGAGACAGTGGCTGCTCCTGGTGATGGTGGAGCTGCCGCTGCCCGGGTAGATGCAGGGACCGCCAGGAGGGTAAGGTCGGTGGTGATGCCCGTGGGCAGGTACTGAATGTTACTGGCAGCATAGTTAGGGATGGTGTCATAGTAACAGGTGGGCACACCAGGAGTAGCTGTGGGCTACAACAACAGGAGATGCTCTTGGTCAGCCTCAGACAGCATACTCTGAGACTCTAATTACTAAAGAAGCTGGTTAGCACAGACCAAGTCTCAGAATGCTTTGCCCTTTCTTATCTGATGAATCATGTGCCCCCCAAAGATAGACCCCAAGCCCTGGTACTATGAATGTGACCAGTTGGAAGCAGGGTCTTTGTGAATGATCCAAGTGTAGAAGAGGTCATTAGGATGGGTTCCCATTCAATATGACTGGTGATCTCAGGAGGGGAAATTCAGACACAGGTGTGAACATGAGGACAGAGATTGAGTGAAGCATGTGCAAGCTAAGAAATGCTAAATACTGCCAGCCTGACACCAGAAGCAAGGCGTAAATCATGGAACAGAACCGACATCACAGCCCACAGAAGGAGCCAACCCTGCTAACGTCTTGATCTCAGACTTCTAGAGTCCAGAACCAGGAGGAAATAAG